ATATATATATATATATATAAATTATGCATCTTTCATTCTAGAATGAACACATTATAACACGAAAACATAAATGTCTAGATGAAATAGTTTAAATTTCATAACATTATACCTTTTATATATAATTTTTATTATATTGACCTATCAGCCGTGCCTGTTTAACATTACAGAAGTTACAATGATGCAGCTCACATGCACTCATGTTACTATATCCAATAATCTAAAACTGACCTTTAGTCTTTACAAAGTAACTTGTCTTGGCTGTGTTTTAGTAGACTAGTATTTTGTAAAATAGTCACATTTCAAGTATTGTACATTATATATCTATATAGATTATTGCTATTTTAAAACAAGTTCATAAACTTATTTTTTTAAAACATAGAACAGTAAATAAAGAACCAAAGCAAACAATTATCTCTTCTAGTTACGACCTTTGTACTCGGTTGCAGCTTGACATGGTTGCTAAGCCTTTAAAAAGTTTGCATGCAGAGGATATGAAACAATTTTTTTTAGGTTTTATATATACATTTGAATAACTAAAAAATCATAAATTACTACAATGATACCATTAAATTCCACTATAATTTATCAAGCTTAGTAACTAAGATGTATTTTAGTCTTAAAAATAAAAATGAAATTTCGAGCAGACTAAAGACATACCCTACCTCATTTAAATATTGGTTCAAAAGAAAGAAATGGCATTCAAGTCTATTAACATGGCTGAGAAAGCCACTAGGGGGACATTCTAGCTTCCAGTTGGTTATTCATGTCATATATAGAAGTTATATAAGGGACCATTTCCAAAATTGGAAAGAGATGGACAGGGTGCCACTTTGTTTAATTTACTACATGAGCAATATATTGGCAAATAGAAAAGATAAGATGTTCTTATTTTATATTCTAGCTTGTCAGTATCTGTAATTTGAGTTTCTAATTCATACGAAACTTAGTATTTTAACTTCACAAACATCTAATTTGAACCTGTGCTGCATTCAACATACCAAGTGACACACAAAAATCTATTTTTATCTGTGTTATTTTTTAATATTTACTTTTAAATTAAGAAATTGAGTGATGCATAGTAAAAAAAATTTAATTATAATCTACAGTTTGATACCAAACTTACTGACATAAATTCATGAAATAGTAGTTCAATAAAATTTTGAATGTGAGTCAACAAAAGATGACAT